ATATATATAACACAAATATATACATATATATATATATATATATATATATACATATACATAAAAGCCTCAATGTTAGGGTTAGGGATTTAAATGTTGCTCATTTCACCTGAGTTTGAGTTTGTCCAGGTCATCCACCAGGTTGTCCCTCTCCACCTCCACACGTGATCTCTGATTGGTCAGAATCTCCACCTGCCTCCTCAGTTCGTTCATCTCCTCTTCATACAAGTCAGCGATGCGGGTAGGCTCCCGGCCTCTGAGACGCTCTACCTCCACAGTCAGTGCCTGGTTCTGCTGCTCCAGGAAGCGCACTTTCTCAATGTAGCTGGCAAAGCGGTCATTCAGGTGTTGCAGCTCTGCCTTTTCATTTGTTCTGGTGGTGAGGAACTCCTGGTTTAGGGCATCAGCCAGGCCGAAGTCCAGGGTTTCACCCATGCCTGCATAGGAGCGTGAGACAGAGGCCCTTGGAGTTGTCTGTGGACCTCCATAGTAGCTGGAGGACACACGGTACGCTGGTGCAGCCCTGGTGCGAGTCACCTCGTATACTCTAGAGGTGACATGTCCTCCGCTGCCACCACTGTGGCCCAACATTGAACGATTGAGAGAGGGTGAGGCGTATGTGCCTTGGCCGAAGGTACGGCGGTAGGAGGAGGCGCTCTGAGCAGAGGAGCTGTAGGAGGCCATGTTGGAGGACACAGAGAACCTGTTGGGGGTTGCAGCAGAGCACTAAAGCGGAGGACACTGCCCCAGACTATTTGTAGTTACCCCCTCCCTTACTTTTTAGCCTTACCCCTCGCTCCCTGCATCCCTCTGTCTGCCCCCCCTCCCCCCGAACATCTTTTGCCTATTTACAAACCTTCCTTTTTTTCAAAGGTAAAACCACCTGTTTTTTCTCATTAAAGCGAAAAACAAACAGATCAAACCCTGACCTCAGAAACTTTAAATATAAGGAGAAAGTTCAACAATTGTTTTAAATTTTTGGCTAAAATTCAACCCAATCACGGGTTAGCTTATTGTTTAATTAACTATTAGCTAAAGTAAACCTTAACCTCATTGCATTTTTTGCATTATTTTAGTTTAGATTTTTAACCAATGTCTACAAAATGTCACATGATGGTTAAGTCTGTTTGAATCTTAATAAACGCAAGTAGATTTAACAAAATTTTCTTAACAAGTTCATGTTATTTTATAAATTATTAACTGTGCCTTAATCCACCTAAGTCACAACCACAGGGGTGACAAAAAGACCTAGATTAATGTACTTCAATTTTTCATCATAATCTTTTCTTTTACCATCATGATGTCATGACATAACAATGTGAAGATGCAACAAAACTGTGTGTCATCCTCACATGGTGAAGCAGTGCAGATTGTTCATAACTGTGCCTGAGAGTTGGAGCAGGGGGTTGGTTTGACTAACCTGCCTTAAAAAGGAAAACTATCCCATCGTGAGGGACTGTAAGGTACAACATGCGTATACAGATGTTTCCTGAGCTGGAAAAAGATCAGACACCCAAACTTTTCAAACGTTATTTTAATAGAAATGTAACTTGTGACAAGATAACGTGTAGATATAATACATATAATAAATACGTAATACTTTTAAAGAGAATACATTTTTTTAATTAACTAAAATAAAAAAGTAAACGTAAATGGTCAAAAGAAAGCTGATATTGGCCAAATTGCATATAGCAGTTAGCCTAGAATTAACAAGTCAGAGTGGAAAAACTTTATTTCAGTCAAGATGCAATTTCAGTCATACAATTCTATGGATAAGTAGGGATGTGTTTGGTTGAACCCATTGATAACAAAAATATAACAAATATATTTTTACAAAACTGCAAAAGATAATAATGCTAAGTAATAGAAAATGTTAGTTTGCCAAAACTATCTTTAATAAATAATAATAATAACAGGAAAAATCTCAAAATACATCTAACATTCTGGACATAATAAGTATAGTTTGGAGTTGATAACAATTGGGTTATCAACAAAAGAAAACATATAGTTAGAATTCATTTTAAGATTAGTTTCCTGATACCCTAAGCCAAAATCCCAGAATGCCAGAGTTAGGTAAATGATCTCATGGCCAACGTATGTTCAACCCGTTGCTCTGTGCTGCAGCCTGTTACTTCCATGTCTATTAATGTGCTGTGTTTTAAATGTTGTCATCCCTCTGCTTTTCCTCAGAAGCCCAGGATATGAGAACAGACATCTAAAATAAACTCCTCTCCATTCTTTGCCGCCTCGTCCTCCTCCTCCCCCTTCTTCTAATCACACGTCCCTCTTTCTTTCTCTATTTGTCATTTGTTGCTCCACATGTTAACTCCTTCATCTGTAGCATTAATGGCTATATAAGGCTTTGCGGTTAACTCATAGGTGGTGATGGGTAAATATACAGCGCTGCATCACATAATACCTAATGTTAATTTGTTGGGATAATTTTTGCTCGAAATCGACAAGATAGCTAAATAATAATAATCTTCACGATTTGTCAACCAATAAAAAAATCAATTAGAGCGTATTTAGGCTCATATAATACGGCGGAAGAGCTACGATAATAAGAGCCAATCAGAAGTAATTACGTTACGTTGAAGGCGGGGCAAGTAAGAGTGAAGCCAATGGTAGAGAAACTGTCTGCGAGAAAATGGTGGAGGGAACAAGGCAGAGCAGTGTACTAACGGCTGACGGGAAAACGTTAATTCTGGAATCAAATCCATACCTAATGTTGTCAGAGTTTCAAATTATAGGGATGAGACTACGGGCACATTACACGTTTTGTAAGCGTGAAATCCAAACCCATTGTTAGCCGTCGAGGAAAATAATCGCTCGAAAACAACAAAAACAAACGTTGAAGCGCCATCTACTGAGCAAACAGAAAAACAAAAAGTCACAACTTACTGCATTAGCAAATCTATTACCTGGGATGTAATAATGGGGTGTTTGACTGTCTTTCAGAGTTTTAATGTAATTGGGGTAAAAAGGTTTCTCATGACCAACTGCACAGTACAATATACAATAATAACCTATTATAAATTTATTTAATTATTAATGCATTTTTGCCTTGTTTTTTGGTCCGTTCTATTTGAGGAGGGATCAATACAGTTCCTACATGGGCTGATAATAATAATAATACATATTATTAGTATTGTTTTTAGTATTATTATTATTATCATAAACACCACTAAACCTGCATATATGAAATACTTCACTCAGGTGACAACTGTGGGTCAGTGAATTTAGAGAATGCAGTGCCATCTCAGCAGAATGTTCCAGCAACTCTTTAAAATGTATTAAACCACCCAAGAGATCAAGGAGGACACTAATACAGAATGTCGTGGCCTAACGGAAAACTATTTCACCAAACTAGAGGATGCTGTTTTTGTTTTCAGGATGGAAGCAGTTGGTGAGAGGCTGACATCCTCAAAGAAAACCAAAGTAAGCAAATACTATGAGAAGTATTACAAAACAAAAATGGACCAATAGCAGCCTAAAGACGTCTATTAAGCACTTGACAAAACAAATGGATCGGAGTAGCAAACTTTATTGTGATGGTCCTCTCGTTTTTTAACGCATTGTACGTATGGGAATTAACAAATATTTAAATAGTCAAGCCTATTATCCCTTTAACTGGTCCGTTTATTGAGTCTTTTCACAAACCAATAAAGCGCAAAAAAATACTGTAAAAGTCCTCTTTAGGGTAAAAACAAAAACGTTGTAGTTCACCTACTGGCGCTTTGGTGTCGCTGCTGTACCGTGTCTACAAACAGTCAACACTCCTGTCTGCAGCTTCTGTCCCTGCACTTGTCCCTGTGTTACAGTAGTTAATCTTTTCCTAACGTTAGGCGGCTGAAGTTAGGACTTTGAAGAAGCCATTAATGCAGGTAAGTGTCATAAAATAGTTTGATAGGGTTGTCACTCCAGTATATGCAGGTGCGCTTTACTTAGAGCTGCATTGACTTTGGCCAGCGGCAGAAGAACAGCAGTGCAGAAGAAGAGAAGGCAAGAAGCTAGCTCAAGCTAAAATCTGCGCACCGTTTGCCGGACAATGTAAGCACTAATGTGAGATTCAAGTTATGAAAGTAGATGGCTTCCGTTTTTAAACACTGGTTTTGTTGTCATATTTGTGTTATGACTTTGTCCTCCCTTGAGTAATTAGGTTAAGTAATCAAAGATAGTATTTTACATCAGTCCGAAGTTGGAACCAGTCGCCGGTACCGGTCATCAACAAGAGTCTCCAGCTCTGCTGTCTCATTCTTGAATATAATTTGAAATATTGTTTGGTATTTTTCAGAGTTTGGTCATGAAGAGTTCCAAGGACACCGTCCAGGCCGCTGCTAAAGAGTTTCTACAGTTTGTTAACAAAGGAGCGTCTCCGTATCACGGTAAAAAGAAAGACAAATTGCGTTCTCCTTCTAATTTAATGCTCAGGCCTTTTCATAACAAGAAACATTAACATACATGTCAATCCAATCTTTTCTAATAACATTTTTTGCTAAAACATTTTTATGTATCTCACACGTAGGTCACGCATTAATGCAAGTGATCACTTTACAATTGACATATTGTACTTTGTGCTTGTTTATCTATTTATTTACTTATTTATAGTAGATTTAAGTAATCCTTATTTGGATATAGATTGATATATTTATGGTTGCTATTTGCTTCAAATGATATTAACTAAAAGTTTAGCCGACTAGTTTAACATCACCATAGAATTATATTGACCTTAAGTGCAGAAATGCAGCATTACGTGTATCTTAGCTTTAAAAACTGTAAATAATTATCTTTAGTCAGTTGCAACTGGACTTATGATGTAGTTAAGACCTCTGACTCAGCTATTTTGCCACATAATATTATTTACAGTTTTGCCGTTTTTAAAGATGATCTGTCAAAAAAAAGTGATAACAAACATAATATTTATAAAATGATAATCCACAAATTAGATCAAATGTAGGTTATGTTGTATCAAAATAGACACCACACCTGATGTGGTTTGGAGTTTGACCAAAGGATGAACTTGTGTCAGCATTTAAAATATGCCCAATGTAAAGTTATCAGTTATGCAGGTTACCTTCGGATAAGATAAAACTTCTGCCTGTGTAATACTTTGTTACATCTTCTTCCGTTGCGTTCTGACCTTTAGACCTTTAGTTACTCTGTTCCAACTAATGAAGACAAGTATACAACTGTAAACAGAGTGAACTGAGTAGTCAAGAAAAATGTTGACATCCTCTAATGTCTTTTAATGCCAAAGAGCCAGACTACAGCTTAATCTCATCTTAAGTGAAAAATCACTCTCACTGCCAGGAAACCTAAAAAACACCAATGATGTGGTCAAGGGACATAAATACAAAGGTGTAGCATTAGTTTTTCTCTTTTTCTCTCCATGCAGTGGTTGATGAGTGCAGACGGCGTCTGCGAGAGGCAGGATTTATTGAGCTGAATGAGACGGAGCAGTGGGACATCAAACCAGCCAGTAAAGTGAGTTGTCTGTGACGTTTGACTAGAGCCTTTAAAAATGCGTGCTTTGTAGGTCTTTTGTATGCAATATATGTAATACTGTATGTTAATCCACCTCTGCAGTACTTTGTGACCAGAAACTTCTCCAGCCTCATAGCCTTTGCTGTGGGTGGAAAGTATCTTCCAGGAAATGGGTTTTCCATGATTGGAGCACACACAGACAGTCCCTGTCTGAAGGTAAGAGCTCATATTTATATACATATATATACATATATATACATATATATATACATATATATATACATATATATATACACATATATATACACACACACACACACATACTGTCATAGTGATGCTACCTACTGGTACAAAGATATGTTGAAATTTAGGCATTTTGTGATGCTCAAAGTTGCATTTTGTTTCTTAATCATTTAAAAAACAATGTACTTAGTGCTTATTAGCCCTTTAAAGATAATGAAATGAACATTTAGTGAAATATAATTAGGTGGTTGGCTGAACGAACTGTATTTATTTTAACATATTTCAGGTAAAGACAAGATCTAAGAGAACAAAGCAGGGCTGTCTGCAGGTCGGAGTAGAGTGCTACGGTGGAGGCATCTGGAACACCTGGTTTGACCGTGACCTGACCGTTGCTGGCCGCGTTATAGTCAAGGTAGATGAATGTTACAGTATCAGTGCAGTGTTAATTAATTTTAAAATTGTTAATTCACACCATAATCCCCTGATGCTCTTCTCCAGAGTGATGACAAACTGCTCCAGCGCCTGGTTCACATCTCCAGGCCTGTGCTCAGGATCCCTCACCTGGCCATTCACCTGCAGAGGGACATCAATGACTCCTTTGGACCCAACAAGGAGAACCACCTGTCAGTACACTCTCCTAACTTAACTAACCTTTTGTCTAATTAGAGCTATCTGTTGGGTTTTTTTAATTAAAAAAAAATCTCCTGCTACTTTTTTATAAGCATTGCTATTTACACAACCTATTTCATAGTGTTTAGGTATTATCTTGTTAAATAAATAGCCATCAAATTCTATTTTTTGCAGTGACCTGTGCAAGTGAGTTAGTCTCTCTGTGTGTATATCTGTCTCTATGTCAGAGTGCCCATTATTGCGACTGCTGTCCAGGAGGAGTTGCAGACTGGCTGTGCTTCATCTGGAGATGCATCATGTGCTGCTAATCCGGTAAAACCAACAGTCAAATCAACTCGCCTTGCCAACCCTTATCACTCTGCCTCATTTCTTTAAAGCAAGGGAGACCTTATAAAAATATTTTCAGCATGTTTAAATAAATGTAATGTAATGATTTTTAGGAAAGTGAAAATGCAAATGAAATAACTAAACTGTTGCTCAGCGAGAGTGAAAATGATGATTTGTATTATTATTCCTCCTCAGGCAGAAAAACACCACCCAGCACTGGTGAAGCTGCTGTGTACAGAGCTTGGCGTGGAGCCAGACGCCCTGCTGGACTTTGAGCTCTGCCTGGCTGACACTCAACCTGCGGTGAGTCTCTGAGTCAACCTTTGACTTTTATCATTTACTGCTGTCTTTGTGCAATTTTGCACATGGATGAAGAAAAACTTTCTGAAAACAACATAGCCATTTAAAACTGGTTGGGTTTTGAATTGCTATTAATTACTTTTTAATGGAAAACATGTTATTGATGTTGGTAGTTGAATTTTTAATAGGAACCAAAAACAAATCCATAATTCCATACAGGTACTATTCTGATAGGTTCCTCTAGTAGCAAGATAACTTGTTAGTTGTTTTGTTTTGAAGATTGTGTTAAAGGTTAAATCAGCAAAGATTGTTTGGCTTGTTTTGCAAGACAGTGAGGACGGCTGCTTTTTAGTCTAGATATGACTCCCTTTTCAAAATGTCTGGCAAATAATGAAGAGGAGAATCAGACAACTGTGAACTCAGAATGTTCAGGAGCTCAAGCAAAAGACTGACTTGAAGTTAATATCTTCAGCTTCCAAGCAATAAAGCAGGCAGCAGAAGAAGAATATAGAGATGGATGATTGATAGTTGAGTAGTAAGTAAGAATTTCTGCAAAATAATAAACAGACAAGAAGATTATACAAAAATCATTTTAATTGGTTATTTTGTTTTATTTCATAATGTATTTACCCAGTCGTTGCCAATGTAATGTTTTCTACTCTGTTATTTGTTTTTGTTGCAATGTTTTTCACAGGCTCTGGGAGGCGTGTACGAGGAGTTTATCTACTCACCTCGTCTGGACAATCTGCACAGCTGCTTCTGTGCTCTTAAGGTCAGAGTCTGAGCAGAACAACCCAGACTATAAATATATTTTAATGATATTTATAATTATTAGGATCACCTTTAGGTAAAATGAGCTTACAAGTGTTCACAGAAGTGTAAATAGATGTTTGTCTCTGTGTTTTGTTTCCTCTCAGGGTCTATTGGAGTCATGTTCTGGAGACACTCTGATGACAGACACCAACATCCGCATGATTACTCTGTACGACAATGAAGAGGTGTGAAGATTAACTCTTTAAATTTTGTTCAGATTTTCTTTTTCATTTTAGCAAGTGTTTATGCTGTGTGTGTGTTGCCTGTAGGTGGGGTCAGAGAGCGCTCAGGGCGCTCAGTCCAACCTTACTGAGCTTATTCTCAGCCGCCTCGCCGCCTCCTCCTCCAACCTCACTGCGTTCCAGCAGGCGATGCCGTGTTCCTTCATGATAAGTGCTGACATGGCGCACGCGGTGCATCCCAACTACCAGTCAGTATCAGCAAAATGACAACATCTAGTTATGAATGATATTTGTACTTGAATATAATGGTAATTTTATACATCTGTTTGTATGTTTCAAATTTAGAATAATGTTGTAATTTCAACCCAGAAGCTAAAAAGAAGTGATGCAAAAATAAGTTAAAGATTACTTTACTCAAGAAGTAGCTGATAATTGGTGAAAAGTAGGAACTGACAAAGATTGAAAGATAAAGAAGGTAAGGCCAGAAATACCAAATGGTTATCAGTTTTTATAAACACGTAATTAACAAATATGTAAAAAGTTGGTCAGTAATTACAGGAATAGCTTCAATTTGTATTTTAAAAAAATACAGCTAGCTAAAAACTAGTTTTGATAAAAGATAGCAGAGAAAAAAACATGAACTTAATATTTTATTTTCCAGAGAGAAGCATGAAGAAAACCACCGACCTGCATTTCACAAGGTAAAAACAAACCTGTTAGTTTATTCAACAATCAACTAAGAAATCTTGACATTAAAATTCACAGCCATGTGACACTAGATGGCATTTGCTTTCTTGAGTTGTACTGTACATTTTTCACGTTTGCATTTGTTAGAATAAACTTTTTTTTTTTTTTTTTAGGGCCCAGTGATCAAGTTTAACTGTAATCAGCGCTATGCCACAACAGCCGTCACTGCTTCTGTTGTGAGGGAGATAGCCAGCCAAGTTGGTGTCCCTCTCCAGGTACAGTGTTTTGATGTGTCATGTGTCATTGTGTAGAAAAGTGTTGTAACAAATTACTGTAAGAAAACAATGCACTGCAAACATGTTTTCACGTTGGAATATGTGCTTAAGGAAGACTTCTGTTATAACACTGCATAATCTAAAATTTGCAACATGTTTTTCACGAATTTGATGCAGTGGTTTTGGTTGGCGTTACAAAGCCATTCACTGGTACCACTTAGTGGTCACCAGAAGACAATTTCTGGAAAATGAAAACAGTGTTTTTTACTCAGTCTCTTCCACTTTCAGGACGTAATGGTCCGTAATGACAGCCCTTGTGGAACCACTATTGGACCCATTCTGGCTGCCCGCCTGGGAATACCAGTGGTGGATATTGGGGGACCTCAGCTGTCCATGCACTCCATCAGAGAGATGTGCTGCACCTCCAGTGTCCTACAGAGCATCACACTGTTCAAGGTAGCCTCCTTTATAGAAAACAGAACCACCTTTCTCCAGGCGGTAATCCTTCAAGACAACTAATCTAGTGTGAATATCAACTGCTAATATAATAGTAACAGTCACCAGCAGGTGAAGATGATTTCATAAAATAAGAAGGTAGAGTCTTTGGCGAGTTAAGAGTGTCATCAAATCCACTCCACACTAGTGAGCCCCCTGGTGGACAGAGCCATGTCTCTTTTTTGGCTTACACTTGGCTGAGCTCAGTGGGCGAAGGCCCAGCCACTGTGTTCACTTGTGGGCTCCATACCCAGTTAGACTCCATTGTCCTTCAGGGTTGGTACTATGGTCTTTGATCTGTAGTCTAATCAGATGTCTTATTAGATTAGGCTTTGTCTACGAGTCGATTTCTTGGCCAGTTTTGATTTTCCTCAAAAGATAGCATATACAGAAGATAACGTGTTCTTCATCTCAAGTCTTTATTCTCATAAGCTCAGTTCAACAACTTTCTGAATAAATGGCCTGGAATGAGGTACTAAATTAAAAATGGTTCCTGTGTACCCAACACTCTGACAGATAAAAAGTTGTCTATTATGTTGTTTACTATATACATATAGTAAACTGCAATCTGTCTCTATTCACTGAGTGGATAAACTCAGCAAGGACATTCAACAAATGTTAGGTGTCCAAAAGTCGTTATAAAACAAATTGCTCATTTAGGGTTAGCCTCCCTGTAAAAGCCCTGTTTGCGTCTTTGGGTGTTACACCTATTACAAATACTGAGCTCTGTCTAAATATAAAGTACTACCAAGCTAATAGTATGTTGGCTCCAGCTTGTGATTGTGAGCTTCCGCTCCTTTTCTCCATCACAAAACGCAGGTACATAATGATCAGCTGCAAACTTCATGTTGCTGGATTTCTAATTAGTACATGTACATATATTTACAGCTGGACTGTAGGCCGACTGGTCAAGTATTTTTAGTACTTATGCCCCACAAAACCACCACTTTGTCCATATTGTTGTATTATCTTCTATTCTGCCATACGTATAATATTTAGAAAATATATAATTTTACACCTCTGCTTTCTATTGCAGGGTTTCTTCGAGATCTTCCCCTCCCTGAGGAAGTCACTGATTGTGGATTGTGGATCCAGATTACAATGAAATGAATGACCATGGGGTGGTTTTTTTACCATGTTGATGCCAAAAGATTATCTTTTTCAACCCCCATATCACTTAATAAAACTTACACTTCCTACTCTTTTAATCGCTCTGATTTAATTTTTAATAATTTATATAATACTATTATGAAGATGGAAGAATGTGGTTCGCACTGCAGGTGTTGAAGACTCAAGTTTAAATGCACCTGGATTTTTCATAAATCGGAAGAAGAGTCAAATATACTGTACTGCTCTGCCAAACATCTGGACAGGGTTTTAACAAAATAAGAGACCTTGGATTCATGTGGCCTACCGTGTCATTCAGGATGTGCCACAAATACACACCGTTATAGTCATTTTTGATGTTTCTCACTCATTACCTTGAGGAAATAAAAATGATTTATCAATTTGAAATTATCATAACATTGCATAATAGTAGTCTGACGTTTCC